TACCCTCTCCCTTTGTTTATTGCCGATTTACTCTTGGCACCTGGGAGCGCGTTAGGATGTTCGTACCGTGCCCGTGGCCTCAGGCTTGTTGAGCTGCTGCACATAGCTCCCAGAGCAGTCAAGCACTGCTGCTAGCAGGTGCACCCACGTAGCCTCTATGCAGAATTAAGCCACTAATAATTAAATTAGTTTCACCTTTAACGTTTTTCAAAGACATGGCAAATGCAATTTCTATGGAAGCTGGTTTTTAGCTACCGTCTGCCAGCTCTGTTCCTTCTAATGGAAAAGCTGGTGTATTTGCTCACAAAAGGGAAGGAAACTTAAGTGTTGCACGCTACTCAAACCGAAGTCTTCACGTAACATTAATCTTCTGTTTCCTCACTGAAATTCCTCACGGAATCAGGCATGCGGGGGGAGGCAGTGAATGCCTGTAGACATTCACAGCCCCCCGGGCACCGCAGGCACCGCACAGTGTAGGATTCACGTGCTCCAGGCATGAGCAGTTGGTAAGACGAGCCTGGAGCCTCGGCGAGATAGAGATCCCCACTAGCACCACACACGCTAGCTGTGCTCAACACAAGGGCTCCGTAGTTCCTATGTGGAACAATATTATTAAACCTCACTTTCCTTTCTAACAATCTGAGTCTGATGCACGTGCCTTTGGTTGGAGAAGAAAAAAAAAAATAATGCTAACTGCTACCATAGCCCACACAAGTTCTTTGATCGCACCCCTGGCATCAGCAACAGATAATTTTGTTGTTTTGTTAAAGATCAATAGAGTATGTTCAAAGCCAAGGGATACGCAGGAACTCGCACTGTTCAGTCTACTGCTAATAACAGGGCAGTAGGTCTGTACATATGATACTTTTGCACAGTTCTGGTACAGCTATGGTATTGCCACAGTTGGTTTTAGGCGCGGTTTTTTTTCCCCCTGCTTGTCTTGTGGTCAGAAGATAAAAGACGTCTTTTTCATTCAACAGATCTGCATCAGTGCAGAAATGGGGAGTTTTGCAGTGAGAAAGTTTTAGCATACTCCACTTGCAGAAAGGAATTCAGTGTAACAGGTAGCATAGAGTTAAATAATGTGTATAGGCATGAACAGGCTCCTTTCTTCAAGAAAAAAAAAATGAGGACTCAGTCAAATGGTCAGGGAAATCAAGCGTATAGCAACTATGGCTGGTGGTGTTATTTTACTGATCAAGTGTGTACATGTTCCAGAAAAACAGTTAAGGGGATTTCTTGGGGCTCTAAGGTGTGGTATTAAATCTGGCTATGGCTTGTGACAGTAACTTTTTCAAGTTACTGCTCCAAACCTGATCAACAAAACCCTGAACAGCACCTTGAAAGACAAAAATAGTAGCTTGATGATTAGTTCTCCCAAACCCCACACTGACCTACCAATTAAGAAATACCCACTTGGTAAGCAATGGAACTATCACTTATCAGGAGAAACAAATATTTTGTTCTTCCTCTCCCCCCCCCAACAACTAAGACAGTTGTACTTAGTACACACAAGTACATAGTTCTGGTTGCACAATGGAGAAAGTCAACATGGCCATTTTTATGGTACTCACTATATACCAGTCTATCATGCTGAAAACTATATTATTAAAAGATGCTTTTATTCTGTATTTATCTTAACTGCAGAACATCTTGTGCCTTTAAATAAAGAGCTCTCTTTTATAGTGGTTTATATTTGATTACATTAAACTTCATTTATTCCTGATAAATCAAGTTTATTACAGCAGAGAGCAGTGCAATGAATTAAAATCCTTTTTAAAGTAGCACATAAACCTTCTTGAAGGGAATACCGCAACTTGATGTTCTACATTAATAACAGCCTTATTAGTAGTAACTCCCATAAAGTGCCAAAGGAGACAAGTCATTATGCTTAAGCAGGGCTCACTGCTTTAATAGCTCTACGCTGGCGCAGGGCAACAGCGTTCTTCGATTCTCCCTGGAAAATGAGGGACAAACTTCTGCTACACATGTAGTTGAAACAGCCTGTGGAGTTCTGTCATGCAAATTCAATCTTCAGCCCTGTACTAATGTGACAGGTGCAATAAATCCAGTACATGACTGCACTGCTATGGCAAGTCCTCCTTTAGTAACCGTGATGGAGATGGATACAAGTCTGACATGCAACGAGCATTCTCCAGTGATAATTCTGAATCTTTATCAAAATGCTAATCTAATTATCCAATAAAAACACTTTCTTTAAAGATTTTTAATTACTGTAAAATGCTCCCACTGCAGCCCAAACTACTACTATCCCCCAGTTGCTTGCATGCTTTTTAAAAAGTGGTATGCAAGCTTTCCTGATTAATTGGAGATTTGACAAGGAGGAAGACCCTAGGCATTCTTCATTAACACCACGGCTATTTTAGCTAAGCATAGAATGGAAGGGTTCTTTTCTTCCCCCCTTTCTCACATGACACACAGCATCAAGTATTGTACACAAAATGACACTCGATCCAAGAATGAGAAAGCGCTTCCCGCTGCCCACCTTTTTCCAGGCAGAGGAAACACTTAAGCAGACAACTTTTGTAAAGAGAACCTTCACAGGGCTGTTACAACCATTAACAGAACTGACGGCAACACAAGTATTGCAGAAAGTATTAAACTACTTGACAGAAGCAACAGAATGACTATTAATTGTTCTAGTACTACATGAAAGTCTTTTACCTTCTTACGCAGATAATGTCTGTTTTGCAACAGGGTACCTGTCTCACTGCACAGACTGAGCTAACGCCTGTAAGATAATCAGGAGCATTTAGCAAATACGATCATGCTCTGTAGGACCCAGCTCCACTTCTTGCAGAGGTGGATAAAACCAAGGCCAAAACTGCAAAAAGAAGTCTTGGGTGAACGCTGGGCTGAGGAAAGTGACTCTAGCCCTGCTCTGCCAGTGGGTTCTTGACATTTAACCAACCATTCAACACCCCCCACCCTCCCAACGCTTACTGATGTCCACTAATGTTCCAAGAGAGCAAAAAACATGTCTTGCTGATGCTGGAGAAACTTCTGCAGCAACATGAAGTAATTGCCACAGCAATTTTAGTCACACTTCAAAGATAAAGGACATAAGTTCTCTAGCACACCCTAAATCGGGCACCAAAAATTGGCAAGTGTTCAGTAACTACGGCTTGGATTCTGTCTCAGACCCCCTCATCTACAGAATAAGGCTATTACTCATCTTTCCAATTAGTAGTGATATTGATGAAAAATCCAATACAGCAAAAATCGGAGAAAGTCCCATAAGGAAACTAAATCCATATACATAGTGCTGGGTTTAGACGATAACACACTAAATTAGACTTGGACCTGCACAACTGAATATAAAAAAACCCCTATTATTCAGTGAACACCATCAACTGCGTATACTGAATGAAACAAGAGACCCATAGAAAAAAAACCTAGCACCTGATTATGTAATAATACACAACAGAAAAAGGAAGACGACAGCTTTACATTAGCCACTTCCTAATTTTTGAAAATTTGCCTTTGCAATCTTGGTGTTTAATAATTTACAAAAACAGTGTTTTAATATTACCTGGTAAAATGAAGGGATAATTTTTTTTTGTTTTCTTTTCTCCTTTTCTTTCTTCCAGGTATAGTAAGACTAAGGTGCTTTAGTATTTGTTGGTTTCCTGTTTTTCACAAGAGGGAGAATTTCCCAGCCAGGTAGGTAACAAATGTTGGAAAAGATGGAATATGGGCTGCATACAAAGAAATTACTGGAGGTTACACTGCATGAGAAAGCTTTTACAACCCAGAGTTAAGGAAAAAAGAATGATTTTAACTGTACTGACTGCTTTGTATTATAACCACATCTACTGCCAGCACAGAAACTGCATGTTATACAATTTATTACAATGAATGAATTCCCCTGCTTTTCAAGTGAGATCTTGGTATCCTAGCTGTACTCTGGATTTAATGCATGCAAAAGTTGCCCTCCAATTGAAGAAATATGCATGATGCAAGCATCCATACACATAAACCAACCAAGGTTTTCATTCAAGTCTTTTATTATAGCTTGAATTTTTTCACTGCATTTAAAAATCTAAAAAAAATAAATATTTGTTTCACAGCTGCAAGTCACATATGCATTAACACCACAAAATCTGGAATCTAACCAGAGAAGAAAAGTCAAATCCGAAAGTGTCCAGCTAAGCACAATCGTCTCAGGGCAATTATACTAAAAATAAAATCTTAAGAAAAGGGGAGAGGGGTGTTAAAGAGTTATTTCAAATGCATTCATCTGGAAAAAAGTGAAAATTCTATTAGAAACCATAAACTACGCTTTCAGCATTTAAAAATAAACGTTTAACCTCTTGACAGCAACAATTGTCCGGTGCATCTTTTAAGCTGTATTTTTGACACATGGCTGCAGAGGTTTCAAATGATAAATCAACCTCTTTTATAATTGTGTCCACTTAATTACATAATTAGTCCTTAAAAATAAAACAGTGTATTAAGTCAGCTTGTCCATCCACATATTAAAAATGCCATTGTATGCAGCGGCACTAAGTGACTGCTTCATGGATTGTACATCGTGAAGATGAATGTCTCTTAAACACTCACTTCCATTATTAAGGTTCTTAAAACAAACCAGAAAAATATATCTTCAGAAATCAGAGTAGTCACTTTTTTGTTAAAAGCCATAAAATAAGCTCATATTCAATTACAAGCAATAGAAACCATACTGCTATTGGAACATAATTATTTTATCACAAAAATGTATTATTTACAAAATGAAAAGTTACCAAGTGAATTTATCAGGGAAAAAGTTAAATGTTCTTACTAAGTGATCTGAAAAACTTAAGCAAGTCTCTCATGCACTCACACGCCGAATTGTTTGCATAAGGTGAAATGTTAATTCATGTTAGTGACACTTGACTCCCATTCACAATACTCTCGTTTTTATTGTAAGATGGCAAAATCCACATGGTTCTGTACAAGAAGCTATGTATTAAGACAGTTCCTCATTTTTGTAAATGTTTTTTGGCTCCCAGGAATATCTGTACCACTGAACGTTTTTGCGAATAATCAGTTATATTATCAACGCCATCATTTAATCCACTGAATTTACCACCACAAGAAAGACACAAAAAGTTAGTTTAATGATCCCACGTTACACAGAACTCTCATTTCTGAAGTTATACTAAACTGAAACCTTCGTAGTGATCTATAGCCTGGATCAACTTAGATTTTAGGGTTTCTTTATCTGTGTATTTTGGAAGATCAAGAAGATTAAAGCAAGTGTGAGCTACCGGAAGATAACCTTCTCCACCTCCTGTTGGCTGGATGACTAGTTTAAGACACTTCATTCCAAGAATTGGAATACGATCACTGCCTGTCAGAAACACTGCCAAGAAAAAACAGACAAACAAAGTCTTGAAAGCAGTTTAAGACTAACATTGTGTATGTCATATATGCAGTTCTAATTGTTATTCACATTTTTTAATTATTCCAGCAGTGGCTACCTTTTCATACTGAAGTTATTCTGACAAGTTTGAAAAACAGGGAATAATGACTTAACTCCATCTCCAGCTTACACATATGAACTCTTAACTGTAACGTAACACATGATATATAAAGCAAAACCTTTCATTTTAGCATATGAAACCAAACAGTCCTACCAAAAAGAAAAAAAAAAAAAAAAAAAAAAAAAAAAAGAGTAGGAAGTTCTCAATGCATCAGAATTTGTTATTTAAAATTCACTGGCTATACCTTTACTGAGCATTTGCAAGCATCTTGTAAATGCACAGAATTAGTTTGCTCAGTAAGAAATTTATCTGAATTGGAAACTAATCTATGATTTATTCTCAACAAAAGCTTGTTCACAGGAAGCTTCTGTAACTTTGTTTCTTCCCTGTACATTTCCACTCATATCAGCCCCTCAAGGTATTTACAATCAGTTATAACTCAAAAAATCCATTTATGTGCAATGAAAAAACTGGAGGATGTGAACCTTATGTCAAAAACAGAAAAAAATTCCTAGTCATCAGATAAATTACACTAGCAGTTTAGGTTGCTGGGGTTGTTTGGGTTTTCTTCCCCCCTCCCCCTCCCCCCCTCCCCCGCCCTGTTTTGTTTTTTTAATGCTGCTCTGGTCTAGTGTGATCTTGTAACTGCCCACCACCCAGAATCATTCAGGGCAACCCCGCAAAATCAGAGACAAGCTCATAATCACTTTCTTCTACTATGATTTTTTTCCTTCCAAATAAAGTTAATCACATCATTATAGACAAATACTTACAGCTGCCCTCTTATAGCAAGAGGGCCTGAAATCACAGTGATCCTGTTCAGTTAGCAACTTCTGCAAAGTAGTTTCAAATACTTACACAAAAACTGTTTTTTCTTCTCCAAAGACAACTCATGAAAAACCTCCCAGAATATTTTAATTGTAGGATGGTCTGCCCAGTATTCTCCTTTGTATTCTGTATTCTAAAATGAACAGGAAATGAGGTTATTGTTTGCACGTAGAACTAATCGGATAATCTGACATTAAAGTAGAATGAATGCGGTTTGCGTAAAGGGATACTGCAAATGACACTACTGTTTTCTTCGGTAAATTTTCTTCAGCTGTTCTGTCTGACTTCAACTACATGGATAATTGCATGTACTCCAAAGCATTTTCAATCCCAATAAAGTAGTGACAAAGTCTCACAGCGAGTTTTGGCAATCAAGAATATTTACTTTTATTAACTGTGTGCATTTTGTTCACTTTCCCCCTTCTAACATAATACGTTGTATAAAGCTGCCTTTTGGCTCTGTGGATTTTTCTTCCTCTCCTTCTAAGTCTGATTTCCCTCAGAAATTAGATGGAAAAACTTTAAGCAGGAAGGTAAATAATATTTTAGTGTCTTCATTCACTGATATTTAAAAAAAAAAATATCATGCAGTCAATCCAATCAAGGCTGGAAGTCACATTAAAACAGAGCTCAAAAGGATACTTCAAGATTTTGCTTTTGCATCTTGAAATTAAAAACGTATGAAACAAATAGCTAACTATGCTTCTTACCTTCTCCAATTCTTTCCAATCATAATTTGTGTTCCCAATCACCATTGCCTGCAACTCGCTGGGCTGGAAGAGCTGAAGAACTTTACCTCCACATACTTTGTGGAAGCCTGCATGGAATGCACTGAATAAGGAAGCCACAGATCTATTGAAGATGTAATCCACATATGCATCTACAAAATCTTGCCTGTACAAACAAGAAAAAAAGAATTATGTTGAGAAGGGAAAAAAAACAAAAGCACGTCACCCTTCTAGGAATAAAACAGTAGCCATTTCTGTATAGAACACAGCATTGAAAGTTAAGCAAAAAGGATCCTAAGATATTATGTTCTCTGCTTCATGTTACAACCACAGTGAAGATAACCTCAATGATTCCCCCTCCACACCCCTCAAGACAGAGTCTGTAATGTACAATGGAAAAACAGTAAACGTTTAGTGTTATTTATTTCAGGTGCTATAAACACTTCTCTTATTTGTATGCATTGCAGTGAATTGGACTGAATGGCAACAAGCTTAAAGGCCTGAGTTACATGCAGTGTCCGCAAACTGACTAGTCATACTTGCTGGTGTATTTTTTTTAATTAAGAAGATTAGCATATCTGCACTGAAAATGCAGATCAACTTCAAATGGACATTGAGTCCTATACAGTAGAAAGATCAGCACAAAGGAGCTAGGATACTGAAAAACAGACTGCCTGTTATCTGTGCTTCGGTACAAGGAGTTCTCGTATCTTGTTGGAAGCATCTTCCACAGCATTTCAGGGGAGAACTAAAATTCCTTGATGTGAGGCAGTATTTATGATTATGACTTTTTTTTAGTTTCCATTTTCATCAAGCCTAGTTAACACTGCTCGTTTCTACGCTGAGAGTGACTTCAGTCATAGATTACAATTATCCTACCAACATACATTCTCTGTGGAAACCCAAGGTATTTGAACAACATCCACAGTATCTGAATAACATCACCAATAATTTAAAGAATCATCTAAACACATTTTGACGACACATTTATTAAAGTTGTTGAACTGAAAACACTGGAGATGAGCAAAGTGGTGAATCATGCTCCTCCTCTTCCAGCGCTCTATGAGATATCCATTTTATGCACGCTATGTAATTAGCAGAAAGGCAGGTAACTTGTGTAATACTAACAGTAGAAGGAAAGGCTGCTCCAGAGAAAATTCATAGTAATAAGCTAATTAGCATTATTATACTCTATGTTAATATTTTTAAAACTGAATTAAAGCATCATAGAATACTTGGATCTTGAGAAACAGGAATTCTTCATTGCTGCAAGACAACATGTGACAACAGTGCAGCATACATTCCACGGACACCTTGAAACTTTACTCGTAATTCAACTGCAATTTTACTGTCATACTGTCACAGAACACCAAACCACCACCACAGAACTTCAAAGTTATCATCTTTAAGATAAGGTATGACAAATCCTCAGCTATGAGCCAAGGATTTAAAAAAAAAAGTGCGACAGGTATAGGTGGTGATTGCAGTTCTTAATGGTAGGATAAGTCAGAAGGATAAAAATCACTCCATTGTGGGAAGTACTGTCACTGCACATGGCCATGTGCAGGTTTATGATACCCTCAGAATCTTCTATCATCACTCTTCCCTCTACAACAGACCTAGGTAGTTACAGAAAATGTTGCCCAAAACATCTGCCCTCTAGGAACATGCCTAGAGGTACATTTTCTCCCTCATTCCTACCATGCACAGCCTAGGTGCATTCTGTTCTCATAGAGTGTGTTCTTTCCATTCAATAGCCCCTTTACTCTAGGAGAAGTAAAAGCACAGAGAATTCACAAAGATTAAAGAACAGACAGGAATACATGAGAGGAATGGACAGAAAGAGATAGGAAAATGGTAGTATTCTGCAAAAAGGGACAAAAGCACCACCAGATATATTCTGCCTATCCTCCAGGAGCAGAAAGGTAACAAAGGGTGGAAGAGGCTGCTTTTATAAATAGAAGTAACAGAATCCTTGACCAAGGAAAAAAAACCCACCCCTCACACACTCTTCTGACAATAACACTACATAACATGAGATTAATTTTTCCGCTCTACAGAGGGAAGACTTCTCTGAAATAGTATTTCATATATGAACAGTTGCCACATAATGGCATCTAGGTTGAAGTCTTCATCATTACTCACTGAATTCCAATTATATATGACTTCCTGCAGAACCACAACCGTTTCTAATCTTATAAAATGAAGATCGTGTAGTCAAAATGGGCCCTAAAGAGCTTCAAAATACCTTTAAGTTCAAAGTGAAAAAGAAGTATTACACATTCTGAGTAAAATTAGATAGCCTCTCCACAGCTAGCAAATTCTTAAATACAGTAGCTATTTTCACAATACACATGAGAACAGCTTGGAAAAACAAGCAAAGTAGTTTTGCCTCCAACATTAGTGTAACAGCTTGGCAAAGGGTATTTATAGCAGCCCAGTTACATTCCCAAGGCAGACAGCAACAGTGAACTACCCTGTAACCCATAAAACTCACCTATTTTGTTTGACTACGGGAATGTCAGCACCATTAGGAACAAGCTCTTTAATTTCTGTTGTACCAAAATTTTCCACAGTGATCTATTTAAAACAAACAAAAATAGTATAAATCTTATTTACTGTGTAGAGTACTTCTTCCCACCACTTAGCTAACAGCAACATGAACAGCAGGCACAGATGCTAAAATTCATGGGAATCAGCAGCTGATGCTTTTGCTCAAACACTCCATCAGAGGCAGTTATAATAGATGGTATTAGCTTGATAAGAAATACTACATAAACACTTACAGTATATACACTTATATAAACACTGTATAAAACTCACAGTAAAATTAAGACAAAATGCTTCTTCTATGTCATCCTCTGGATAGTCCAGTAACTGTTGCATTCCCCTGCAAAATAAGTTGCAAAGTACTTGTACCAGTGGAAAGAAAGATGAACTTATTATCCTGAAGTATTCCTTATGCTTTGATAATTCCAGTTTAAAAAAAAAAAAAAAAAAAAAAAGAAATCTTTCTACTGTTATTTCATTTATTAGTGCATTGGCTTGCACCTTTTGCAGTGCTGGAAAATCTCAGGCAATCATTTTGCTATTACTTGTAGCGTTATTTCCTTTTGAATATCTCCAGAGGTGAAGAGAGAAGATTCATATCCTAGTCTTCAGCTAAGGGATTCCCATACCAGAGGTGGTAAGTACTTCATAACCATTGATGGCCTCTTCTATTAACTTGTTTGATTTCTCCTTGAATCTATGAAAACTTCAGCATTCACAACACTGAGGCAATCAAACATCCACTTCTGCTTGTTTGAACCTCCTATGTGTTCAAATCCCTACTCAAGGGCAGATACTTAGCATGTATTTGTTCCTGAAATAAGCAAAAGTGTTTCCTTGATGGACTAAAATCAGCTGTTCAGAATTAAAACTAGGTTCACACTTAGAGTTATAAAATTAATGGCTAAAACTTGAAGGTTTTGAATTTCAAATATTATTTTCTCCTAAATTTCTTGTAGGATAATAAAACGGAAGACACAAATACTAAACCCAAGCATTTAGAAGCAGGTGTTTAAAAACAGCATGTATCCTTTCTCAAATGACATGACGGCTGCAAGTTACTCTGAGCTGTTTATCCTGTTAGTGTGAAAATAACACATTTTCTTTATGTTCTTAAAGGAAAACATTGAATTAAAAATTAATTCCTAGTAACACTCATTTTTCTGTCTTGCTTACCTGCCAACATCTGGCATCAACTCTTTTAAGTCATCCAGGGATGGTTTCTTATTCAATAGTTTTTTGTACAAAGCCAAAGGGAAATGAAGGTCTACAATAGTAAAATTATATATTGCTAGCCCACAGACAACACCAATCAAATGAAACAAGTCGCTGTCTTCAAAGGTCTAAGAACAGAAAACAGACACAATGGTTTAAGATAGTTATTTTAATCTTGCAGAGTCCAGAAAAAAAGCATACAGTACAGTATAATCTGAGTGAGTTTCATTTATATTTTCTTTGAACGTGTATATATCCATAAGTACTGAGGAAAACAGGATAAAGTTTTAAGCAGCTGAGAGAGACACTGAAATCCAAGGAAACAGAACTCTTCTACTTAAAAAAAAAAAAAAAAAAGCTGAGATACAACATATTTTGTGTTACAAGTGATGCATAGCGCTGAAAGCACTGGAATAAGATTCTGGTTTTGCTAGTGACTTACTATTGAGTGCTTAAATATATGTCAATTTTTTTAAAAAATGTTTTTGGGAGGAGGAGCGAGGAGCTCACTATTGACTCCCTTGGAGTTAATAGCCAAGGCTTAACACACCACTGTGGAAATGTTAACTTTCAGGTATTTGTGATATAGCCCCCCTAGTCAGTGTTTTTCTCTGAAAGAGGGCTACAAAGTCAGTGACCAAAACATTTGAGAAAGTATGACCAGATGACTACCTACAAACAGACCCATAAACGTGACTGAACACAGAAAGACCTGTTCAACATGACACCTCAAGAATTTTTCTCTGCCACCTTGATTTACTGATTCTGCTCTTGGAATCAGTTTACTCTGGCTGCCACTTCTTCCTACTAAGCTCGTCCGGGTTGGGGACAACTGGTAAGGAGTAAGTGAGGAATGGGGAAAAACAGAAGGGGAAAGTTTTGGTCTAACAATGACAAAAATGAACATTTTTTGAGAATACTTATTTCAGCTTTTCTTGAAATAAAACTACTACAAACTACTATGTTCATATATTAGTAATATAAATATTTTAAGTTCAAAGAAAACTAATTACTATAGATTGCACCCTACCTTGTCAGAGAACCAGATCAGCCTGGACTCTTCATAATACCTGAACATTCCATATTTGGGATCTAGCAACTCCCTCATGATGAGCAAAAAAAATTCTTTGCGAACACCTCCAGCATCAACAGCTTCTTCCCCTACAAAAATAACCTGAAACACACAATTCAGTTAGCACTGAATTAAAACGGATTGTGACACAAGATTTGTCCAAAAATATTCCCAATTACTTGCATGTCAGAGAAAGACACTTTGAGCAGTATGTACTGATAATACCTTGAGTGGCTTCTTGTAGTCTACATTCTTTGTTTTTCTCAGGACTTCGACAGCATCTCCTACAATATTGTCTCTCCGTACCATTAGTATCAGGCATGGGTTGACAGATTCAAATACTGGCAGAAAGAGAGAAGACAAATTCTGCCTGTGAGCCTGATCAACAGCCATCTGGAAAAAAAAAAACAAAGTGGAAGTGTCAGTAGGTAACATAAGATTCCTGCCAAGATTAAACGTCCATCGGTCTTGTCTTAAAAAGTGCAGAAGACATGAATGGGAATAGCCATTATGAGAGCTACCGAATTTCCCCAAATTTGCTTCACTTTCCTTTTATCTTGGGAAATGTTTAATCTCGGGAAATATTTTTCCTTTACCCATTAGCTTCATCAATGTTAATGTTCAGGGAAGTCTTAGGATACAGTTTTTGACCTTCCAGTCAAAATACTTTGGATAACAAAAGGAAGCAAAAAAATACTGCACTTCATCTAATGAAGAGTAAGCTGTTTAATATAAATCTGGCATGAAAACATCCATTAAAAACTAATTCACAGAATGAAAAGTGATTTGTTCATCTATTTAATTTGTATTATAATTTTTGTATTACAACTATTAAAAAACAAAATACTGTTGCAAATGCTCTGAATGGCATAGAACTCTTGAAAGTTTGTGATTTTAATACTATTTAATATCATTAATAGAAAGATTCAATGTGAACATTTCCCTGAATTCATCAAATGTTGGTATTGACTGTGTATATACATTTTTAAAGGCATAAGAAACTATTTTTATTATGAACTACTAAAGCAAGCTAGTATTTTTCTACATGAGCCCATTACTTGAGCATGACTTCTCTCTTCCGTTTCATTTGAGACTCAAAACATTAACTTTTATTATATTAAACATTATAAACATGGGGGAGGGCTGGTGCTCTTACTGCTGTTACTTTTGCTGTAGTGTCTCTTCATTCTTCCTTTCCTTTTTTAAGGAGATGACCTATTATACCCTTACAGCAACTGAACAGGTATGGATTGTATTTATTAAAAAAAAATTTGCAAACATCGAACAAAAGTATAGCTCACCACATCACACTGGTTTCAGTTCTACCTAGACAATCATGAAAATACATAAGATCCTCTCAGTTACTCTATGGCTGTCTAGCGTATCTATCTCTAGATGAGATATGGGTCAAGATATAGAATTGTTTGTATCAAGTACCTAATTTCTAGGAAAGTTTCTAGTTAAAAACATAAGTGAACAAATTAGGAGTAACATATAATTGCATTTAACAGGAAAAGAGCCAAAAACTTCAGCGAACTGCAAGATCAGGAAACCTACTCCCACTATCCCAAGTAGGTGCTAGATTTTCAAGATAAGCTTCCTTTTCTACTGCCTTGCAGACCGATCAGACTTCAGAGTTTACCAGCGTTTTGAGGGTGGCATGACAGATGAAATGAGAAATTAGGTGTGTGCTAGATATTCATGTGGTGCCAACATGTTGTCTCTCTGATACCACCAATCTTAAGAAAAGCACTAGCACCTAGTCCCATCAAGATAAAAAATTAAAAGTAACTGTAACTGGCTGCTGCCTCTAACAAGATAAACTGACTTCCAGCTCTGGGCTCTACACATATACCATTTAAAGTCTGCTCATATGGGAGGTGGGGTTGTTTTTTGGTGGGGGTGGTGGTTGTTTTTTTTTTTGTTTGTTTGGTTGGGGTTTTTTAATACCTGTACTAATGGGTTGTTAACACCTCAAAAAAGCCATCTCATGAACGAAAGGAAAAGAAGTTCCTTAGAAATTTATGCAATTATTAAACAATCTAATTTCAATGAGATCCCAAACCCACAAAACCACTAGCTTCTATCGTGTATATACCCTGAGATTAAAACTAGATCCCTCATTCTTATGGAGAAGAGATTACAGAGTTTGAAAATAACAAAAAACAAACAAAAAACCCCACAACCAGCAACCCCCTAAGATCCCCAACTACAAAAAAAAAAAAATTCATAACATTAAAAACAGACTCTTACCTGCATCTGTATGACTGCATCTGTTTGTAGGAGAGTTGTCTTTGCCTGGGCATCAAATACAAATGGGTATGTGCAAATTGTAACAGGAATATCTGTTAACTAGAATGAAGAGAACCATGTCATATCTCTGCTTATTTAAAACCCACAATCATGGTTAAAGAAGCCATTGCAATAGTATTCATTTAATACATCTATTGTACTGAAAAGAGAAATAAGTCTTTACTCATCATTAATGAAGGGCCAAAGCATCTTAGGAAAATTAAGTAGATTTTCAATTGTTTAGTACTTCAGAAGAAAAAAAAAACCACAACACACACAAACACCACTCTCACTTAGTACATTTTAATTTCAGAACTTTTATTACAGCTAGTATATGTATCAAAGTAGTCCTTGTTTTCAAATGCTGCTCTGAATTTGCAATACAAAGAATTACATATTTTTGTCCCACAAAAATCTTTTCAGATTACAGCCGTACTGACTTTAAGCTTTACTCCCAACAGAACACATCAGACAATCCTTAACATTCATATTTCTGATTTCCTTACATTCTGCAAAAGAAATCAGACTGCAACCAATCTTACCTCAGTTAATCCATGGTTGACATCCTATGACAGCATTTGCACAAAGGTAGCAATAATTAAGATGAAAAAGCAGCATTAGTGTCTGCATTGATTATTCATCTCTGGTGTAGAATTAAAAATATTTATCTACAGCTTCCCCCCCCCCCAAGAGAATGTTTATTGAGAAATAAATATCAACCATAAACATTCTAATTAATCTATCAAACACAACCATGCCTTTCAACACCCTATATATCAGTCTTTAAAAAAGGACCATTAAAGTTTTCTTGGATGCAAAAAATTAAACCTTTTAAATGTTTATTTCCATACAATAATAAATGACATTTGCTTTTACCTATGTATTTTCATTCTCAAATGACTGCAGCATGTCAAATTAAATGCAAAACATTTTTAACAAGTAAAAATTTAAAAATACAAAAGAACCCCACCACTTTGTCATAAAGTCTTAAGAATCATTTGGGTCTATGATAAGATATGATATGAGAAAAGCAATTGACTCTTGAAATTTGAGACAGACCAATACATATGGCTGGGACTGTGTGGAGACTTCCACAACAAGCTAGATTAACTGTGCTAAGAAACTATGTTATCCATCTGGTGCCGTGCACCCTCCTTATCCTGCACTGAAAGCTAAGTTCGTTTCCACCCAGCAGGGGCGGGGGCAATGACAAAGAATAAAGGTAATGACAAACTAATAAATTTTAAATTTGACTATATATATGAGACTCAGAAGTCAAATATGTAGACATCCATGACTCAGAAAGTGAGGGCCAGAATATTTTGCTTTCTATCTCTATCCCTAATTCCTACACGAAACATCAGATTTGAGCACCCCATTCATCACAGATTTATGCAATTCTGTACTCCGACTATATCTGCCATTATTTATTCCTAATTAAAATCGTTTTTCTCAACTCCTTTAAGTTGTATCTCAAGAATACTTCTTCAGATCAATAGTTCATTATTTAGTACCTCCATTTTTTCCCCCACTCATTTTTCTGTTGTTGAAAGAATAAAAGTTTTTTATTCCAAGTTTCTCTCTGAGAATACTCTGAATACTTCTGAGATTCTCTTTTCTTCTGTATTTTCCCCTCCACATTTTAATTAAGGAACCGAGCAAACAGTTTTGCCTCAAGTTATGACAATAAAAATTACACTAGCAAAAGAAATTTTGATTCATTATTACTGGTTTGATAGGCAAGTAGGGCTTCTTATCATTTTAAAAGCAAGAACACAGGAAACTAGTGGACCTGAAGGCAGGAAAAGGCCATCAACCCCATTTACGAAGGAGATCTGACTAAGGCCATGGAATTTCTTTCAGTCCTATAATAAATACAACTTATCAAAGTAACTTTTTCTGCTGAACTTGAAACCACACAAATGCATGACAAAATAATGATGATTAAAGAAAAAGTCAGTGTCTGGTATTTTCTCAGTAACATCAAGCTACTGCTCAACCTTCCGATTTAATTAACAAATGGAGCTTCAGACTTTCATTACAAAGCAATTTTCCAGCTCTCATTTTCCCATATTCAGTATTTTCTTCTCTGATCATGACATGTGCAATCTGGGTTTGTTTACATCCATTTAAAGCATAGCTGCAAAAGTCATCATTTAAATTCCACCACTTCTGTACCCTTCACTGGCATACCCTTCTCTGTTCCAAATATACAACCTGTCTCTAATTCCAAGGCCCTGCAATACTTATCCCTAGCTTCTACATCTCATTTAGTATACCACCCCTCTTAGCTACCAACACCAGCCTACATCACACACCGGTTATTTTTTCAGACAAACTTGGCTGAAACAAATGTCTGTCATGACTGTCAGTACTGACTCATTATTTCTTTACGCTCCCCAGTCTCCCTGCTGTTGTTATTTTACATTGCAATTTTAATTCTTTGGTAGATAGCATCACTTGCTTTGTATTCATAAAATACAGCAAAAGTAGGTCTCCCATGCTCAGGACCTTCCAGGTACCGCAGCATAAAAATTAAAATTTAGGTGGCTAGAGAAAGCGTATTAACTTACTCAATATTCTTTCAAGGTTTAAGTCAAAGAACCGTGTGGCAAAATCCTATCCAACTCACTAATTCTCTGCAGAGTCATTAATTTACTCCCACTTACCACTCTCCTGTTTACAGATCCAGGAATTAATTATCTCAGTTCCTGTTGCTATACTCAAAGCAGAAACCTATGTTAGTAATCTGTCCCTTGTAACTCCCTATTATGCTTCTAGACTTAGTTTTCCAAGACAGTTTCAGCTTTCTCATTGACTGAACCTATCTTATATAGCAATTCAGGTTATTCTGGATGTTTTCCTATCATGAATTATCACTTTCCTAACTTTTTTGACATGGCAAGTCTCAAGTGACAGCATTCTAAATCACTTTTTAATTGATGGATTAAAATGTTGAACAGTGTCAGTCCTAAGAATGACACCCTACAAGCAGCACAGCTATTTAACAATTCTTCCTTAGCTAATACCTGACATGAGGAGGCTGTTCAGCATCAGTGACCTGTGAAGATATGTTTAGGAAAAGAAGTGCCCGTATTTAGAGAATCTACAGGCTTCTAAAGGGACAAAACCAAAACAAAACATGGAGAAGGGGAAACACCACAAGAAAACCAAAACCAACACAACTTACCATTCCAAATACCTGCTGCTGGACCCAGTTGACATAGTCATTTCTGATATCTATCAAATCTTGTATCTCATGAATGTAAAATCTGTCGTACTGTATAACTTGTCCTCTTTCATTTACCTGAAGAAGTGCAATTTATTTTTTTATTAGCACTTTGTGTAACAGTTTTCAAAAGGACATTTTCCATGTTTTTCAAGCATTTGATACGTCAGCCACAGACACTCAGCTACTAAAGAAATTCTAGAAAAACAACAGTGCCTACAAGAATGCAAAATACAACGTTAAAGACATGGACACATGGATTATTCAGAATCCCATCAAAGATGCAAAGCAGAATAAGACTAACTGAGCATACAGCATCGCACAATACAGTGCTGCCACTTTGAAACATCATATGATCTCACAGGAACAGTGATGAATACACATATTCGTGTATACAATGGAACAAATACTTGTTCCTGTATTTGCTCAAGTTTAAGAACTATGATTCAGGAACTCTATTCTTAATTACAGTATGAATACTATCACTATTACCCATGAGGAACAGTTTCTATTCAAAAACATTAAGCTTAGAAAAAGAGGGGGATGTGGAAAAATAACGTTATATAAAGGCTTGTCTCTACAATATAATTTTAATCCAGAAGCATCCACACTTTCCTAACACACACTTCTTTTTCCAAGGACTGTTAAGCACCATTACCTCCCAAAACAGCAAGATCCCCAGTTCTGTCTTTATAACCAGATAATCTAAGCCTATTTTTCTCGAACATCTCCCCCACCCGTCCCAAACCACTAGATACTAAATCCATGAAGTACCCCAGATATGTTGGCCCTTTTTTAACTCTTACTTTAGTCCACACCAGCTAAATATTAAGACTATACCAACATAAATAGCTGGGCAGCAGGATAGGTACAAATTTAACTATTTCTACAGTGTAGCTACATATTAGTCAAAGTTGGGTTTCAAAAAAAAATTAGGAACTTAGGAGAGCCACATTACAATTCTACAACTACCCACGAGGCTTTAAGATTTTAAGATCAACTTCAGCTGTTAAGACTTAAAGCTACTGCAAGCCTGAGCAGTGACAGAAATTCTAAAGGCAGCAAAATAATCATTTATTATAGACCAACAGCTTTCCAAATGGGAATCTGTAATGGACATCTTGCACTTCTAACACAAGATAGTTACTTAACAGTCTTACTCTCAGCCTTAATTTGATGGTCTCCATAAAGAATAAAGAAAAGCTGAGCAAACCATAGCATACAAATTCCAACTTCCAAAGCATAAATCTTTTCCATTCTCTCTGACAGCTTGGGGAGGAGGGCTGTTACATATAGCACACAAAGATCCAATTTAGACACCTCTGCCCATTTTGCTGGATTGTACAAATACAGTACTTGACCAACACCCTTAAGGAGTGCCTAAAATGCTCTTTTATCACATGAACACAAAATGCCATAGGACCAGAATAAACTACAGAGGGGAAAAAAATAGGGGTTGGGAGGGGAAACCTCAGCAGCAATTAGGTAATACACTGTGATGTGCACAGTCTGCTTACTCCAAATGATTTAGGCTATTTTTGTTCAAAGTTCATAAATTCATTAGTTTTCATGAATTAAGTTACAATACTAACAAACGGAATAAACAAATAGGAAAATAAATGTTTGTCTTGGCAAAACTGTGCAGATCTTTCTTGTCCAAAATGCAGCTTGCTCTTATCTTCCATTTGTGATCTTATTTGCTATCATTTTAAGCTTAAGAGGCAATTCTTTCCAACATACCCTCACAGATGCAATTGACTGGGGCAGTCTGTGTTCCCAAGAAAATAGGTAATTCCATCACCATGTCAGATCGGAATCCAGAATTCCAATGTTTCATAGGTCCAGATTGAACAACTACAGATACCTCTGTAGATGCAAGCCTAAGTATTTAAAACTCTTTAGTAACTTAACTTCTTTTAACAACTACACAGCACACACATGCTGACAAAACCAAACAGATAAGTAATTGGTTAAAACTGATGTAAACATACTCTATGCAATATTTCCAGAACTCTGAAAGCCGTGTGTAGAAAATTGGTAAGTATTCTTCTTTCAGAAGCTGGAATGCCAATCTTGCACAACTTCAAGAGGTGGACTACAACATCCTTGTAGAGTTCCACTATCTTGAGAAACAATGGAGGTTCAAGTACAGACCACCAATTTTCTGTCAACAAATGGTGAACACACAAAGTTAGTACTTGCTACTACAACATTATGTTATGCTATCCTTTTAACTAAAAAACATGTTTTGCTACTTGTCAGTTACCCAGACCCCCCTGCTGCAAAAAAAAAAAAAAAATTTAACACAGCAAGAGTGGTGCAGACTTTTAAACAACTACTCTTTGTATAAATAATGAGACCTCTATTCAAATGCTCTATTGTTAACACACCAACTCTTGAAATTGTCTGTTCATCCAGAGTACACAACAGTATCACCAAGTAACTTTAGACATAAAAACAGATGGCTCAAACGCTGAAGCCTTGACTTAAGCAAACAGTCCTGAGAGCAATGGAAAGTGAAGCAACGCAAGAAAGGGATATACAGTTCAAAGAAATTATCAGTTTGCTTTTCTTTACAGCAGACAAGCTCTTTACTCTCACCAAAAACTAATGAAAAACACAAGAGATGGGTTACAAAAAATAACTGAGGAAGAAGAAAGCACCCTCTCAAAAAGATACCAATTAAAAAGTAAATATTCTGAAACCTCAGCTCTTTCAGCTGAATTTCAGGTGACAGGAGTCACAATAAGTAGATGTAAGGAAGTAGATTTAGAAAAAACAGAGCTTTTCTCAGCTGCGTATTTGAAGACCACATCTTAGGATCAGTGAGAAAACCTCTCAGAAGAAACAGAACAGGTGCTGTAGTCAAAACAGACAATTTAACATCTGCTCTGCAACACTCCTGTAAATTGCTTAGCGCTTGTTAGCTGTCTGACCATGTAATTTTCACTTCAAAGTGTGAAGATACCTATCAGATACACTGAACTACACAGTTTAATTCCTCCCAAATGGAATCAGTCCAAAAATTACAACACCAGATAAATTCATATGGATGGCCAGTTAACTCACCCAGAAGCAAAATAACAGGTGTTTTCTTACGCATCGAGCAATGTTAACCCTTAACTTTCTCAGTGGGGAATTCTATATAACTGTAAACGCACAGCAGGTGTTGCTGAAACCATGTATTCACTGATGGACTTTCTACACATTTTCATCTGGAGATCCTTAGTTTTAACAGTAAAGAATTCAAGTTCCTTACCAAGAACTTTCAGCGGAGCTTTTTCTAGGTTCAGAATAGCTGTTCCAAAGGGAATAGCTAATGTTGTGAAATTGTTTGCATCACTCATCAGTGGGCATTCTGGTAGAGTGAGATACAGCCTCAAAGCTTCAACATCTGGTAAGGAGCTGGTCAGCTTGGGAATAAGGTTCTTTTCCAAACTAGCTGCCACCTACAGTACATCATAAAATTCAGTTTATTTTAATGCAATTGTGAATTCAAACAAATGCCCATCTAGATAAAAAATAACCTAGAAAACAATCATCAAGAGTTTAAATTAGACTATTCTACATTTAGGAAAAAAGACATTATATTAAATATTAAAATACAGACACATACAATATGCTGATGTGTTACCTAATTGGCACAACACAACACAGTTTTACATATTTGCAGTTGATATATTATTGAGTAAAGGAAGTTATTAAAAGGGTCAGAGCAAGCATAACCATAGTACTTCTGGATAGGTGTAACACAGAGAGAGAATCCCAAACAAGGAAAATACACAGCACAAACCTGTTGTGATATATGAGCGTGGTCAGGCTGTATAAGTTTGTGAAATAGTAGTCTAGCAGCATTCATATCAACCCCTGAGAATCTAGTGCTGGTTTTGTAATGATCATCATTGCTGCAGCAAGAAAAAAAAAAATACAGAGAAAAAGACTGAATCCTGTATTCTTGGCAACTCAAGAACTTTTTCCACCTTGAATTTTTAGCCCTACTTACTAAGGAATTAAAATATGAGAGATCACAGTATCAGACTTCCATTTCTTATATGACCTTTGAAACAACTGAAAAAAAATCTTCTCTAACTGCAACACAATCATGTAAAAACACTAGGATCTAAACCAGCCTGTGCAATATATTCCCCTTGAATTATATACAAACTGTGGCTGAGAAGTAATGAGTTTTGCTGGCTTACATGGTAGCAGCCAGGTGGCACACGCTTCCAAAGAGTGGCAGGAGACATGCTGCATTTGGACCAGCTGACAACCCATATGGCAGTAAAGGAGCTAGAAGTTTAAACTGTGGCTATCAGAGTAACAGTAAGATAAGGAAATACTGGGAAGGTGTTACACTTGAAACAAGAGACACTAGGAAGGTAGTCACCATTACTTCTGTTCACAGGAATATTTGTTTAAAAGCCTGATCACTTACCTCAAAGCCAAAAAGCTGCCATTCAGACACCCAGCTGAAGAGAATGTTCCATCAATTTCACTGAAATTATTCATATGAAATAAGTTACATTTAGTTTGTTTTCTTTTTACAAATTAGCATTTGCAATAAAAAACTATATTTAATCCCTGATAAATTACATTGTACATAGGATGGAACTCTGACTTTAACATGACCAAACAACACTAGATAAAACCTCCATTCAAGACTCAGTGCTTAAGACAGCTCAAATCAAAGCAAGTTTTCCAATTTGTTTTTAGTTTCTTTGCATCCTCCTTTATTAAAGCAGAAGCAATAATCTTTTGAGTTGTTCTCATATTCCTTTACATGTACTGTTATTTTTCAATGTGCAACTAGATACTTAATTTCATCTTGTATAGTCATCTAAACTGTGACAGAGATGACGGACTAAAGGATCTAAACTACTTGACAAGCATGACAATGAAAGCACAGCAAAAGCTCTGCACATAATAAAATCAGTAATTAAAAACAGCTTTGCTATGTATGTACAAAACTCCATTAATGCCCAATTCATAAGTAAAATTATGAAAGACAACTTCTTTCCTCAACATCACTCACTTAGCTATCTCTACAGGAAGTCTTCCAGATGGGAAAGTCAGCAATCTTTGAATAAACGTTTCATTCACAGTCCAGATCTGCTTCAAAAAGTCAGGATACCTAAAGTCATCTGGTGGCACCATGTTCTAAATTTTAAGAGAAAGCGTAAAGAATCAGGCACACAAAATTGATTTCCAGAAAAATCAATCCTGTGGTTGAGCTCTTTATCTCTTCATTGACTGATAATTTGCCTACCTGGACTATTACTGTGAAATAAGCCCATGGATAAATTTACTGTATTCTAGCAGTTCTGCATTCACTATGAAAGCAGAGCATACACTAAAAACATCTAGATTAATGTTAATTTATACCACAGCTTACTTCGTGGTAAACTCCCTAAACATACAAGTACTCTTCTAGACAACGAACGCTAAACAAGCTTTATACAAGAGTAGTAAGCACCTCTTCTCCCTAGTCACTATGAGCCAGTTAGCTCACTTCCAGGCTGTGAGCATACAGAAAAAGAGCCATTCAATTTTTTGGACAGCTGCTCTCCCACCCCACTTCCATCAGACTCCTCTGAGAATGAATCATGTTTCTCTGAACATTACTGCATCATCAGATGAGCTGCATTTTGATGTGCTGCTCATACCACATGAATTCCAGTAAGATTTCTAATACTAAAGAGGAACAGAACCAAGACCACTGTTTTGAGTGGGAGCACTGTTCAAAAAGAGATGGTAAACAGTGCCAAAAGTAAGGTTAAACTAGTAAAAGGAAACATGTATCTTCTGAGGGTGCAGTCTGACAACACAGCTGACTCAGTACAATGATGACCAGCTGTTGCCAAAAGTCAGTACTTCTGATCTCAACCTACAGGATGCGGTTGAGAAACCCTCTTGCTGTTTCCCTTGTGTCCAGCAGAAGTGTCATCTAAACCCACAATGAAACAACTCAGGGAACTGAGCTGCCCAAAAATTAACTTGAGAAAACAAACAGATTTTGGCTGAGACCCCTTAACTGGCAAGGACACACAAGTCCCAGGAGTACAGTACTCGCATAACTTTGGAAGAATTGGATACAAATTACCAAACTAAGGAGTACCGAAAGGGATACTTTTGCAGCATCAAAGTTCATCTATTGCTAATACTTTTTGTACAGAACAAGCCACAATAACTGCATTCATACAGTCTCCAGTTCACCTCAACTAGTCAGTCAAAATCTACTTCAGTGATTAGAAAATTGCACACGATAAAGTTTTTAAGAAAGGAGTTTTAGTAAAGAAGTTTTGAGCTTATAATATAAAGTAATTTTTCCAGTCTACACCTGCTAAACAAGCTTCTCTCAAATACAGCAATAGTTACCGCAACTCAATCAAATTTTAGGAAAAAAAAAAAAAATCTAGAAAAATTGTTGATTCTGTACAACCACAACAGGCTGTGGCAATAAAGGGTTGCTGCAAGCCTGACCTGTACTCAGTTTTTCTTGACAAACATGTTTCCCACTAAAATCTGTTTTCCTTTGTGTCCAAATTCGTTTGCACCCCACATACTCAACTCTTGATGCTTCATTAATCCCTATGCTCTAATATCTGCTGGGCTATATTGGAAATAGTCACTATACAAATCCAGTCATGTATCTTTTATCTTGTTTTTTCCTCCCAACTCATCCTTCAGTAGCATTTCCTTTCCATCATACTCTCACATTGCCATTTGTACTGTAAAGTTATTCTAGACTATTTTCCCCATACTAGAATTTAAACAGATCAATTCTTGTCCTTTTAAAACTTAAGACCAGCATAAAACTCTATCACATAACAAACTATGTCACCACCTATCATTTTAAGCAAAAAGCTCTATTTGTTTCCTCATCCTCGCGGTATGCTAACGTGGCTACAGAGCAGAAGACAGCATAGCTGCAGTCAGGAGTTACTGAGGAGGGCTGGGCAGGGGTGAAGAGCTCAAATATTCAATCACCTTTTCCTTTACAAAAGGAAAAGAAGTGCATGAATCCATCACTCAGAAAAAAGCTTATGCCAAAAAGCCTCAAGAGCCTAACTGACAGCTAACACTCAATAACTGAATACAAATCCTCCAATTGCTAAATTGACTTAGTGTCTTGTGCTTCCACATTGCTCTAACGAACTTCACAATGTAGCCATGCACTTTCAATATGAAAATCTTTTAAAATGCATCAGAAAAACTAAAATTTAACTTTGACAGACTTTGGAACCAAAGTATATTTGATTTGTTACCTGTGGATAAAAGTAGTGTGCAAAACTTTGGTCCCCACCAGAAAAAATTTTCTTTACACAATAACACTCCTCACTGTCTGCAATAGGAATAAAAAAAAAGGCAACTGTGAAAATGTGAATTTGAAAAGGGATTAGGACACATCAATCAACACTCAATTAGAAAAAGGTTCCTTCATTACGTAACCTCGCTGAAGCAAATCTTTGCAATACAATAGTTAAGACTACCTTTAACTGAGGTAAACGCTAACAGCTCTAAGTTTTAGCTCTAGCGCTAACAAAGGACCTAATCCGACAACACAAGTAAGCATGTATTTCCTACAGCAGAAATGGACTTTAGGGAACAAAGCACAGTGAAAACGTACTGTTTGGAAGAAAGCAATTATAGCCCGTATTTCATTTAAATCTCAAGATTTGTAAAACACTATAAAGGAGCAGGAATCCAAGAAGAAAATATGCCAGATGTTGCTTACCTGTGATTATCGGGCATTGAGTACTATAAGGAAGCCAGTTTCCTTTTACTGTGAAGGGACTTTTCCTATTACTGGTTGTGCCTGTACCTAATTGCCCATTACCTCCGAGTCCAAAAGAATAAATTCTTCCAGATGAAGGAACAAACGCAGTAGTGTGCTGCCTAGGGCAAACAAAATTCAGTAACAAAAACCTAAGCATTATAACACGCTTTGTGCTGGCGAGCCTAAGAACTGTGTTGAACAGTATGTTAAAGGTCCTGTAGTATCAAACACTCCACTTGTCTACTGGCAAAACACTGCCACTGGCAATACTCCATTTATACTCCAACAGGCAATGTTCCATGGAAAAGTTCATGGAACAGCGATGCCAGGTTCTGCCTCAAACCCCTGCTTAGCCACAGTCTGACCTTTAGAGCATATCTCTAGACATTCAGAAATTTGAAGTTTCTACCAGATTGGCTGCATTTCCTTTCCTCTCCCACCCCCTCAACTCTAGATGCCCTCTCTCCCATCATGAGCCTGGGAAGAACCAGTATGGAATTTATGTAAACTATTAAAACGGAATGGGTCCACTCAATGTCAACCAAACTGCTAGATAGGTTTACATTCACATATTCTTTAACCCAAGTAACAAAGTGCGCCCATCTCTTAAAAAATTATGTTGCCTCCCTCATTCTGTCTTCTTAGAATGTAATTCTTCGGACAAGAGCATTTTCATGTGTGCTGGGAATTTTTCCAATTTCTTGAGTGGTATTATAATACATACAATAAAGACCCATTAGGAACTGAAGTGCCATACAGTATTACAGGTGTTTCACAAAACAAGTTATGTTTCCAAATTTTAAACTTATCCTCAGTGATGCTCACGTACCTCCCCAAACACACTTGCTCTTTAACAGGAAATGATAAAGTGACAGCAATAAACAACACCTTCACACTGATTATCCACAGTTTCAGTTTAGAAAATCAGAGCCTCTCAAATAGTATAACTTCCTTTAGTTCTTCTTTTAAAGTCCCAGCAAGGTCTCTAAATATCTTTTGTTAGAGACCACCTTGTCTTCCCTAACCACAAAGGGTAAGCCAAAAACCACCTCATATTGCAATATACATGAAGTTTTATACAAAAAAAAGTTATTTATAAGGTTCATAGCGCTAGCAGAGAATAAACCTTACCTGCCACAAGTGATTTGCGTCACAACACTTCCCATAAGTTCAAAAACTTTCCTTGGGTTTATCTCGTGGCTGGTAGAGTTATGACCCAACTGACCATAGCCTCCAGCTCCAAATGTAAAAACCCCACCTTCCTAAACAAATAAATTATTTGTGTTAAAACGATAGTATATCTCAGAACGAGAAACTTAACAGAGATAGGGGTTTAATAAATCTCCTTCTCTGATGATTTTGGAATTGTGGGGAAAGGAAAGAAAATAGACGTGCACAAGAGGGCCCTGAGATACAGAAGGGTCACAAGCTAACTGCAGTTATGAAAATATGGCACAGGTACCAAGTGTTACCTTATTCATGTTAAATCGCCTTCTTGTAATTTCCATATTACTATACAATAGTCCTGCCATTAACTTGTGTCATTAATAGATACTAATCCTCGTTTTTCCTCTTTTCCAGTTTTGTTGATGAACTACAACAGTATATAAACTCACACAATTAAAAGTGTACTTTGGCTTTTAAATTCTGAATATAAATTTCAAAGCAATTACCAAACAGGAAGCCGCCCTCCTCAGGCAGATGATGCAGAGTATGACTGAAATAGTCAGCTTCATTATTTAAAAGTGTGAGAAACCAGAAAATGTAAACTTTGTTGTAAGGCAAGTAATTTTTTAAAAGTGTTTTTGATTAATTTAATCAAGAAATTAACCAAAACCTTTAATGAAAGAATGTTTTCAGAAGTTATACAACTTACCTTACAACAACTTTGAAACTTTCCGTTTTCAAATGCTTTGAAATTGTAAAGCTGTTTCTTTCAATTCTACTCTGCATCAGACTGGACCTCTACTGGAAATCATCGTTAAAATGGCAGCATCCACTGAGAAAAACCAACAGCCTCATTCACTGAATCAGGATAACAAACAGTGACAGGTTTTTTCTGAATTTCAGGAGGACTTGAAGAATGCTCGCCCATACACACAGTACTGTCTACAAGAGATATAAATCAAGACCACTCGTTCTGCAAGGCCTATCAGGCAAGGGAAAATGGAGCTATACAAATGGGTGACATAAATAATCTGTAGAGACATTTACAGTAAATTCAGTTTCTTAATTAAGTCCATCAGCTTTAAAGCAAATTTGAAATTAACTTCTATACATTAAAAATGGAAAGACATTTAGAATCCAAGTTACAGATTGCTGTTTTCTTTACATTCCGTACTTCCCTAACTGCACAATACATCAATATCAATTTCAGGATTGTAAAATTGCCACATCTTTTTCAGTCAAAGTGAGAGAACATTTTAGGACAAAAAGCAATTGTTTGTGAACAGTCTTTTCCTTTCACTGTAGAAAATTAAGCGTGTATAAACAACAAAACTATGGCCACATTTAGGCAAATCAAATTCTTCAAAACAACTTTTCACTTGTTACAGTGTAAAAATTCAAACAAACACATTAAAAAACCCCATACGTTTTCCAAAAGTAAATAAACACAGTTTTGTTTTCTTCAGAAATAAAACATTAAAAATAATTACTTTCAAAATTCCAATGCCTTCTACTACAATATTCTGAATTCAACAGATTCAGACATGAAATGGATATTTAGTCACTTGCCCAAATCTTGATCGCCCAGAATTGTTTTCTACTGCTATGAGTAGTAAGCTCAAAATATTCTGTTTATAAATGGATACATTTTATTGAGTGTGATGAACAACAGGAAATGTCATTTATACCTAAATGTTGAAGTCCAATCCAACTATCAAAACACAAAAAGAAAAGTACAGGAGTCAATCATTTAAAGACAGATGCATATGTGCTGTTTTACACATCACAAAATAAAGGTAGTTATCATCACTTGATGCTTGAAATACACTATTTGTTGCTAAAATGAGTGTAAGAAAAAGCACTAGCATTATACATTCTATGTTGCTCCTAGAAGTTTCCAAATAAGTTTAAAAGTTTAAAAATGAGACTCAAAATAATGCATTTAGCCAAGTTATGTATAAGGCCATTTGACAGATTTCAGCTCTGTTTTAATCAATTCCTACATCTCTGTACAAACATGCCACACTGACACAGAATACATGCTTTTTTCCCAAATTGGCCTTGAAATAAATGACCAACTTTTCACAGAACCTCACACTATCATACTGAGTAGCAAATTATGTAAACCTTCAATTTCTCCTATTGGTTTGCCAATAGCACATAAATAGCTGCTGCACGACAGCAGCCAGAAGAGAGGGGAGTGAGAATATGTGAGAGGAACAACCCTTCAGACCCCAAGGTCAGTGAAGAAGGAGGGGGAGGAGGTGCTCCAGGCGCCGTAGCGGAGATTCCCCTGCAGCCCCTGGTGAAGACCATGGTGAGGCAGGCTGTCCCCCTGCAGCCCATGGAGGTTAACAGTGGATCAGATCCCCACCCGCAGCCTATGGAGGACCCCACACTGGAGCAGGTGGATGCGCCCGAAGGAGGCTGTGACCCCGTGGAGAGCCCACGCTGGAGCAGGTTTGCTGGCAGGACTTGCGACCCTGCGGGGACTCATGCTGGAGCAGTCCATTCCTGAAGGACTGCACCCTGTGGAAGGGACCCACGCTGGAGCAGTTCGTGAAGAACTGCAGCCCATGGGAAGAACCCACATTGGAGAAGCTCGTGGAGGACTGTCTCCTGTGGGAGGGACCCCAGGCTGGAGCAGGGGAAGGGAGCGAGGAGGAAGAAGCAGCAGAGACAACATGGGATGAACTGACCCCACCCCCCATTCCCCGTCCGCCTGTGCCACTGGAGAGAAGGAGGTAGAGAAGCCAAGAGTGAAGTTGAGCCCGGGAAGAAGGGAGGGGTGGGGGGAAGGTGTTTTAAGATTTGGTTTTATTTCTCATTACCCTACTCTGATTTGATTAGCAATAAATTAATTTCCCCAAGTCCAGTCTGTTTTGCCTGTGGCGGTAACTGGTGAATGATCTCTCCCTGTCCTTATCTTGGCCCATGAGCCTTTCATTATATTTTCTCTCCCTTGTCCAGCTGAGGAGGGGGAGTGACACAATGGCTTTGGTGGGCACCTGGCATCCAGCCAGGGTCAATCCACTACAATAGCAGATAGCAATTCACTAAGAAAACTTTAAACAACCACACACACTAATCCCCTGAGCATTTAATTTAAATTCAAAATTAACTTGGTCTGAACAGTGATAACAGCAATGCCAGAGGCATTACAGTCAGAAAACGGCTAATCTTTTTAGGATACACTAATGTAAATTTCAATATCTGCACGATTTTAATAATGCAATATGCACTGTCATATCAAAAATGCTGTATTTTGTAAGCTCAATTTCACCAAATCTGACGAACGTTTAAAACCACAGAAAGCTTCCTTGTATTTGGTAAGTTTTTTTTCAAATATTTAACCATTCTTCCAGGGCTTCCTCAACTTCATCCAATAAACTTTGAAGAAATTTTATGTGGAATTTTGTTTATTATTTCCTATTCAGGCAGCATCTTCTCCTGAAAACATTCAAAAATCAAAGCCTAAACACATCTTTAAATATTGTACCTTTGTAAGGGCAGCAGTATGATCTTCTCCACAACATATATGAACAACCTTCTGAGTTCTCAGTGACTTTAGCAGCGTAGGAACATACCTGTCTGAAAGGTTTAATACAGCAGTAGATCGCTTATTTTGAAAATAAAAATCAGAAAACAAATAGTTTTGCTTATTTATTCTAATCAGGTTCCAATCAAACAAGCACTTTAAATTTGTTAGCATAATTCAATCATTGTGACCAAGTTTACGTATCTTTGAGACAGAAGCGTTACTACAGAAAAACAGAGAGACTAGTATACTGATATACTTTGTAGCAAATAGCCTCATTTTCACTCACATAGGATCGTATGTCAATACATAAATCATGAAATACGGAACAGTACGTTAGACCTGCCGTTGGCCATGAGAAAAGAAAACAGATGACCGCTGTTTTAAGTTGTTTATGTGCTTCATGTTTTTAAAGTGTAAGTTGGTATCAGTTGGCCACAGTTCAATACTCCTAAATGTACAATAGAATGGAACACTGAATAATTAGGAAGCGCAACTAATTTCCCTCCATCACCAGAACAAATCAACTTTGTCATCCAGTTGCACAAAGGCAATTTTTTTAAATGTTAATGCTAATGTCTTAAAATTTGTCAGGTACACTAAGATGCCTGGAAGAAGCCCTATCAAGACACAAAATAGGGATTTTACTGAGAAGTGATCCTATATAAAAAACTGGGGTCATACATATTCCAAAGAATATGTAGAAGCAACTGAAGTCTCCCATGAAAATTTGATTTCTGAAAAGTACATGTAATTTTCTTACTACATGAGTGTGACCGGATTTAAAGCATTAATTCAGATACACGTTTTAACTACAGCACGTTTTTCTTATTTTAAATGGTGTTGAGAACAATGAACCACTGAGAGAATTTAAATTAATGAAACTAGCTACAGATCATCCTATATTAAACTGTGTATTACACGAACCTCATCGCATATACTCCGCTCTTGGAGCCCTACACATGGATAGTGTGCATGTAACATAATACAACCAGCAAAGAAACAATTTTTTGTCTAACCTAACTACTTGCTTAAAACAGTTAATGAGTATCAACACCCTAGTAGAGGAAATTTTGGAAATGGTTAGCTGAAAATCATGAATGATTATCAAAGGTGGCCTGAGAAAAGCAGATACCCACATGGCAGTAAAGCAATGAAGATGCCTTAAATGTGTCTACTAAGGACAACCAAATAGTTTTGATAGATTACTGGTTTTGTCAAGCAATTTCATCTACCTAAAATTCAGTTCAAACTGTAACTACTGCACAGTATCTTAATTCAATCCCATTTAGAAAGTTTAAGCCACAGAAAAATCTAGAACAGGGAAAGAAAACAAGTCAAGCAGGCTAGAATTTCAACATAACGCTGTCAGAATTTTCACTACAAAACAGCTGAGGAAAAAAACCTCTGTCTCTTCCTTATGCAATCTCACATGATATCAGCACTCTCCGACAGTATTCAGCAAAGGTTTGTTCTGTCTGCTCCTTCTCTAGGAACATCTGTCTTTAGATTCACAAACCAAGACCTTCAGCATGAAATTTTACAGAAGTAATGTTTACTTACCATTATCATCATTAAGACCCAGCTGCCCAAATTTGTTTCGTCCCCATCCAAAAATGGCTCCAGAAAGAGTTAGTACAAAACTATGAGCTCCTCCTGCTGCAATCTGTGCAAAAGGGATTCCCAGCAGAGATTTGATCACATGTGGGGAGTTTTGTTTTTTATACTCATAACCTAAGCCCAGCTGGCCATATTTATTTTGTCCCCAGGAAAATACTTCACTTCCTGATTGAAGGAAAAAAAAAAGAAATACAATCAATATAGTTTAATTATATAAAGTTTATTTACTGTAAGAAAAGCTAAAAGTTACACAGTTACTCAAACTACTGACTTGTGAAGCTAAGCATTCTTGTGTAATTTGCAGATATTCAACTCAAATATTTAATCAGACAAAGCATTTAAATCATGTTCAAAACCCTCAAAACTGCTCTTAAGATTCCTGTTTCAAAAGTGTTAGATAAGTTAACTTTGGTCGTTACTAATCAAGATCCTGTTCCATTACATATTTTTATGCAGAGATACTTGTTGAGGTTGCATACTGGACACGCAAAAATTTCCATTTTCCAGTCAGAAGCCTCATTTAAGCTTTTATACAGTAACATACTTAATTTTCACATACAATATTTTGAAATTCAAAATGTCACTTAAATTGTATCACTGATATGATCAATGAAGCACAAAGTTTATAATGTCACTTGATGCTGTATAAAGAAAAAAACATTTTAAAGAATCACAAATCAGAGAGCTATTTATGTTAAGATTGCCTCCAAAAGAAAATATTCTACCGAACAACCAACATTTTGTCAAGGTATTTACCATCCTGAAGATCAACACCTAACCACAAAGATATTTTGCTTTTGCTGCTGTGATACGTTTCAAACAGTACTGTTTCCTATGTCTCTCCTACCTCCACCTTTCCAATAACAGTTTTATCAAGATGGAAAACAATGAAACCCATCCCCTGGGGTACAGGTCTCTCAGATTTTATTTATTTATTTAAACAACAACAACCAAAAAAACAAACCAAACCAGACAAAAAAACCCAACAAACCCAAACCACCACTTTTATACAAAATAATCTTCATAACACCAAAGAAATCCTATACCAATTATTTAGAATCACATGAACTCATCCACCTGATCAATATCCCATATACAGATTCAAAAATACTATGAAGTCTCCTCTCAAAATGCCCGATTTAAGGCCATAACCTTGCTACATTGCAAGTATTTCTACAGGTTCTCTTACAACCAGGAAAAAAAAAAACCACCACCAGAAAAACACCCTACAATGCATGGGAAGAACAGAAACACAGAGCTGCAAATCCATGAATTGGCAATAGGATAGTGATGCTGTACTTGAAGCTTGTAACTATTTAAAACAGAGTGAATTTTAAATTGCAATTATTCTTATTATATTCTTGCACCTTGGACCAATAGAATGCTTAACAGCACAGTTCTGATACTCCCCACGTTCTACTGCTGATCTTTACCCAGGCGAAGGGTTATTTGTAAATCTCTGCCTGCCTGTCCTGAAAACAAGGGAACCTCACTAGGTTATAATGGTAAAGATGCCTGGGAATACATAATGGCACAGAAAACACTCAATATGAGCCCATGAAAAGTCACATACAGAATCAAGGCATATATAGTCAGTATAAACTATTATATTTAAAGAAAAATTTAAAAAAAAAAAAATTCAGCATACAATTAACACCTCCCTCCCCACAGCTTATTTAGTTTATATTTTAACTACACATTGTTAAGAAACACTGTCAAACTTTACAATCTTTCTGGAATTTTTGTTTTGAGTTTCTAAGTTTCCATTAACCCCATCCAGCAGCCACTTCTTCCAAATAGAAGTTTTGGTCACAACTCTCCTTTGTCATGATGAAACAAACAAGCAGCAAATTTAAATTCATATTCATTTCTGGATAGCTATACTAACTAGCCCCAGCAAAATTTTGAAGACAGATGTTTAAACCTTTCAAAAGGGGGGTGATAATGTGACATTACATTTTAACTATAGAAGCACCAACAAAACAGAGGCTTTGCAAAAGAAAAGCAGGCAAGGAAGTCGTTGCCTGCAAGGATCAGTAACTTGAAGTTAGAGGTTAAAACAGAGGAGTGACAAAGCAGCATGCCAGCAGGATGAAAAAGAAATGGGACCAAAAAAAGGAGAAACCAAAATGAATTTAAAAAGGAAATTACATGAAAGCAAGATGTTAAAAAGCAAAAAAGCAAGAAAAAAAAGCAGAACACCACAACATTTGTTTGTACATGTATTTTTTAAATTCAAGCTTCCATCATTAAATTACACTTTTCCTACCAACCTGAAACGCCATCTGTGCTGAGTGGTAGTACGTTTAAAAAAAAACATTTGCTTTTTAAAAGACAACAAAATAAATGTTGAAACCTTTAGAATTACGTGGTAAGAAATTACACAAAACTTCAGAAGAATTTGGCTTACCTTTTGAGAGTGCTAATGAGTGATAATAACCACAGGCAACTTGAACAATTTGGATCTCTGATAGGCTTTTAATATTTCTATTGGGGGAAGAAAACAGAGAAAGAATTAAGCTACTAGGTCATGGTATGAAATATAAAGTCATGCCAAAGGGTAATATACAAAAAGTGAATCCTTTTCACTGAAGTATATATGAAAGTAATTTAAATATCCTAACTTTAATTAGAAGCTATTTACTAAAGTCTTAAGTCAAAACTGCTTCTTTTCTAACACCTTCAAAGGCAGGTTCTGTCTTATTTTCAAATTAATAAAGTCAGTAAAAGACCATAATGAAGAATTAGGGAGGTTCATGTGCTAGGAAGGTGTCACACAGCTGAATGGAGGAAATGAATATCAGATGCAAGAAGAAAATGATTCTTACTTTCTAGTTTCCAAAAGAGAAAAGGTTTTACGATCTTCTTCATATGAATATTGTATATAAAGACTGAATTACTTTCTGTTAAAATTTGAACACTCAATTTTTCTTCTCTACCAACATTAACTTCAATCAGAACTTCAGTTTACAGAGCTATCAAGTATTGCACAATACTATAAAGAAGTTGCAAATACATACAAATGTACATTAAATCTAGTATGCTTTGAACTTTTGTTGAGAAAAATGGAAGTTTCTAAAAGGCCTGTGGGCTTTTAAATTTGATACAGAAATGAATAACCTTTATGTTAGTTATTTACATCTTTCATATTTATACATATGTCACAGATAGCCATGATAAAGTTATATATTACTAATGTTCCAAGGAAGTTACTTTCATGTGTCATTTTCCTATGTAAAAAAGAAAATTTAGAGAAGAAAACCTGCAGCTTGCAAACATGCAAACTTACTGCTACAGACAGTTCACTGATTTCAGTGAACCTATTCATCGCAGTAAAAACGTGGATTTCAGCTAGCTGGAATGCTTACAGCATTCTGAAAACAAGCAAGTGAAATCTGGCTAGCATTCATTTTTATAACTAGAAGGCATATTATTTGATCACAGCTAAAAAACCTTGGGGTGAAAACTGAAGTATGAAGATCAGATAGCAAACATACCTTCTTTGAATGCACTCCCACAACTGGTTTTTAAAGTTTAACATTCTACTTCTCTTTAACTTCTCTTAAATGGCAGTTATCAATCCCCATTTACATTCCTAAAATACCCATCCTACTTTTCCAACATAACTCTCATTTTTAGTACATGACTATTAAAAAAAAAAAAAGAAAAAAGAAAAAAAAACCAACAAATGAAACCAAGCAAACCCATAACACACTTCTCACATAAGCTGACTTTCCGAGAAAGGAAACCGTCTACCGCATGCAAGTGCCATAGCTAAAACACACTTTCTAATGCGTGTTTTTAATTATAACAGCAGAATATCTTAACCAATGTGATTTAAGTACTTTTAAAAAGCAAAAAACCAAAAAAACCACAAACTTATTATATATACTAATTATTTTTAACCTGGGCACTCTGATGCATTCCTCTGTTCCCGGCAAGCCAAGCTGTCCATCAGTAGCCAGACCCCAAGCGTATACCTGACCTTTGTCATTTAATGCAAGAGTGTGGGCTTCTCCACACGATACAGCTACAATATTTTGGGCATCCAGTGCACCAACATGCTCTTAAAAAAAAAAAAAAAAAGTTAGTTGTTTAAAAAAAAATACTAACAAGATAGTGTTGTTCGAGACAGCTATACTCAGTACTACAATATCAATTGAAATGACACAGAAGTAAGCCCAGAAGTCTGCCAAAGCATCCTTTATTTAAAATTATAAGCATGCTGTTCTAGGAGAAGTAAGTTAAATTTGACACCCCAAAGTAACTGAACAACAACTGTATCTGGGGCAATATACAGAAGTGTACAAAAACTGCAGCTTGATCATAATGGTTTCTTCTAACCTTGCCATCTGAAAATGAGTGTAGAAACTCAATTAACATTAAGGTCAAACAGATTATTGTCAAATGACTACACGTGTAGACATTATGTAAGAGGAAAACATTCCACCACAGCAAGTTAAATTCACCTATTCATTATTAACAAAAAAGCCTGCAAAACAAGGCAGGGCAAATTAAAGACTAAAGCTACTGATTTTGCAATGAGCTACACAATGTCCTCTTTATAATGCAAAATACTGTAGAAACAGATGCTAAAGAGTAATTTTTCTAGATATGCAGTGCACACCCCTGAAAAGCAAACACTAAAATATCTGTGATTTTTCTTCCAGTAGCCTGCATCAATACCTTTGAATACATTTGGAAAAACTCGAAGTTTGTTTTTGTGCTTAGGATTTGTGATCAGAAGTCTAACATTTTCACTTCAGCAACAGTGAAGTGGAGAAATATCATCAGGGCCTGTCGTGAAGGCTGGAATTTTCAACAGTCCCCTTAAATAAGAGCCTGCTTGGACATTTTACGCCCAGTTTTCAAACACATATATTCTATTCCTGCCTAAGAATGGCACACCACTGAAAAAGCCTGTGTATCATCAATGTAACGTGCACTGTAAACACAGCCTAGCATAGCCTAAGTCAATTTCAAAACAGTATGTGCAACATGACAGGTACTCAGTTCCCAAAATAAAGTAACACAGGCAGCAGACATAAGTTCATTTTTTTTTTTAAACAGCTGGTCTGATTAAAGAGGTTACCACCCCAATTCAGCCCATTACGGCCTCCACAGCTCTGCCAAGAGGGTATGAAAGCACTCTCCAGTTCAGGCAACAGCATGCAGATTAGCTCAGACTGTCTTCACCAGCTGCTAAACTAGCCAGGTTGACTTTGCCTAATATGGGTTAAGAAACATTCACCCAGTCCCTATGGCAAGCAGAGCTCTGTGGGGAGGAAAGAGGGGCGGCTAAATAGTGCCAGTGGTGACACTGAGGTGGCAAAGACATGCAGTCAGCAACAAAATTATCTTCAGTTAGCAGAAATACATTCAAAAGAGCGCATCCACCCATTTGTAAAGATACTGAGCCTCTTTAGACTCTGCAAGTAAAGTTATCCCCAATGCACCAACTTCACATTAGAACATTCAACAGTATTGTCAGTAACCTCCAGATGAAAGAAAAATTAGGGAGGAGGACATTACAATCCTCATGACTGCTGTATCTGAGCATGTTAAAAAAAAAATTATAGTAGGTGTTTGTCCATTACATATGAAAGCTCACACAAAGCTGTTTTAAAAAACCAAAAAATTAAAGGCCAGATGTTTTTATTGTAACTTTCAGATTTAAAAGACAATTCAGCATAATTTTCAAAGTGGGTAACAAGTATTCAGACTAGAGTTCCTATTCATGTTCATGAAGCAGATGTTTGCACAGGATTCAAGTTTATCAGTTTTAATATCCATTTACTGTTTCCCAATAGAAGTCCAAATTAGTTTTAAAAGTTACATATCAACTGCACAAAAAAATCTTTACTTGGCACCAAATCCGAAACTCTGAATAATGGAGAACTACTAAAACACTGCATAATGCCTTATTTCCATTTGAAATATTTGTATCAATTATTGTGCCAAGTAACTTGTAGAATTGCTATAGCAGTGATTAGAATAAACTCTTAGGAAGCCTTTTCAGTTTGCTTACGTTATGCTATAAGAACAGTCAGAAGCACTGCTCCGTATCTCTAGTAGCACGCAGATATGACTCACATGCACAGCTCTGAAGGGAGCCCGTATGCACACTCCTCTGCAGTCCCTGCAAGACGTGTACCCACTTCTGCTATAGAACTGCACTAGCAGCAAGCAGAAACACGCATATAACATAGATAGGAAGAAAAAAGCCCAAAGAAGTTTTACGTTGCATCTTTTAGGCTTTTCCAAATCCTCTTCCTGTAGCACTGCATATGCTGAAAAGTCTTACAGAAGTTTTATTTTTAGTTCTCAAGAAAAAGAAAATTCAGAGCACTGCTTTAATCAGACCTGCTCTACATCACATATTAAACGATTAAAAACACACAGCATGTTTCTCAACTAAGGTATGCCAAATATTATTTTCTACTGTATTCCAGTAGCCAAACCCATACATATAGTACAATGCTAATCCATGTATTGAAGCAGGTCACCTCCCCTTGAGATTAAAACCAGCCACTGAGTCCCCACGGCCTTAGGTAAACTGATTCCATGTGGAAATAAAAAATAGTGGCACTGTCCAGCTGCATGTCAGGCAAAAATAAGGGGGGCAGCCATGTTTCACCGTTGGTTACTTCCAACTGTCAGAAGAGGCAATCCAAGCAAAGGAATGCTTTTCAAGTTAAAAATATGCCCATTCTTGGAAGAACTACTGTGCATACAATTCAGCACACGCACAGACACTGGTAGTCCTGGGTTTGACGTACCATAACGAAACAAAAAGTACATGCACAACCACGCGTACTCTCCACGATTCATTACTTCCAAACTTACCGGGTCTTTTCCTGGCTTTTTCATGCCCTAGCTGTCCTAGATCATTGCATCCACATGTATAAACAGTCCCATCATCCAGGACAAAAACAGTATGTCTCAGTCCACATCCTACATCTCTGACCCTTTTATTTAAGAAAAAGTCACTTTTTCTGGGTTCTAAAACAATCTCTTCATCAATTCCACCCAATCCAAGCTGTCCAAAAGATGCATTTCCCCAGCACAACATGTTTATGCTTCTCTTGATCGCAGAGATCTTCCAACTTCACTTTTCTAGAATATCCCTTCTGTGTAGCTGTTCAAAAAAAAAAAAGTACAGTTTTTCAGTATTGTCCCTAATGTTTATGTTATCTTTTATACAGCATGTAATCCACAAGTTCACTTTCTATATACCAATATATTGAAACACTGAACAATTAAGAGTATGATTTACTTTCTTGGACAGCATTTACATTAACTCTGCAGTAAAACGCTTTCCTTCCCATTTCAGATACAACTTTTAAGATGTGCAGGTCCTCAGTTTTATAAAACTTTGTTTTAAAAATTTCAACTATCATTCTTTGTAAAACTTCTCTGATATCTAATCCAGAACTATACAAATGGCAGTCACAACCAATGCTAGCCAGTGGAAATGACTTCAAGCATCTTTTAAGGAGACAGTACAGGTTCGTTGCTTTACCCAGGGAGCTGCATGACTCCAGAAAGCGCCGTGTACGGCCTCGAGATCATCCCCAAAAACAACACTTGACTCATATCTTGGAAAAAATTGGTCAGCTCTAATCAATCCAGTTATGCAACACGAAGAATAATATGATGTGTCAATCATTACATTTAAACAACTATGAGTCAACTGCACTTAGAATTTAAAAGAAAATAAACAGCTGAAACTCAAGTCCCCCACCTTGCACTGAAATCAACCCAGGCTACAGCTTCATAGTTACTCTGCAGTAACAGGAGGCCACATATACAAACTCCTCCAGGCAAACCCCCATCCCTAATCCCTAAACTACAATTACCAGTATATATGTTGACAGACTCTGTACCTATTTGGAAAGGATACAAAGCTACACCTCTCCTTCATTTTCAGTATTGCAGATGACGAAGAATTTATGACAATGTTTTCACTATTACTTACTGTCAACGGAAGTGTAGTGTAAGTTTCCCCATATTTTCAGAGCAATTTAAAAATCAATGCAATACAGTGTAAAATTGCTATAAATTTTCATCTGTGACCATTATTTGGAAGACAGCATGAATAACGGAATGTGGAATAGAATGCACTACAAATGCATTCAGTCTTACGTTCTACGGGGTCATAACACGTATAAACCGCCTAAACATAAAACTGCTCAGAGGAGCAAGCTATTAGTTAGCAGCCAACTGTTACATAAACCAAAGGGCAGAATTCTTGTCAGCACAACAGGATGAACTATTTTTCTCTGCAAAAGTCAAAATGCAGTAAACAAGATGCTTATTTTTGTGACCTCATAAAAAACAAAACAAAAAACCCAAAAGAGCCAAACATCTTAAAATACATTGCATTCTGTTTACCTATCGCAGGAGATGACGCATGATCAAATATTTCCCTAGCTATCACTAGCTATATCCTACCACATTCAGAAGGGGATATCAAAATGAAGACTCCTTCGGTTAAGACATAGCTATGCAAGCTTCACAAATCTGTAGCAATGACTGCAATGCAAGCTTCAACCTGCAACACAAGAAGGCAGAAAAGATGTATGATTATAGTGCTTCAAGATTGCTGTAGTCAAGATTTATCTCCAACGGGGCAAAAAGGAAAAAAGTTCTCCCTTCTATTAAAACAGATGTGCATTTCCACAGAAGGTGGGGTTTTGTTTTTGTTTTTTTCTTTTAAGAGTCAGTAGCCAAAGACGTTCTGTACTTTGATCTCACATCACGGCAGTATGTTATCCGTGTATGTAGTCACGAAAGCCAGCTCACGTTGTCAGCTGCTGGATACTACCGTGCGTGACGTCAAAAGCAGTCCAATGCCGACACCAAACACAGAACGCGAGGGAAACCACCCAGCTCATTTTCTACTAGCAGAGAGCGAGTAACAGTGCTACGGAAGGGTCTGGATGTTTCCCGCAGGCTGCAGCGGGCCGTGTAGTCTGACCGTGCAGGGGCACTGACGCGCTCCTAACGCGCCCCAGCCGCGGGCTGCGCGCCCGGCGATCCCCAGGGCTGTACCACCGGCTCCGGCTGCCCCGCGGAGCGGGAAACAGCCCGCCGCCGCTGCCAAACGCGGGCCGCCCGCGGCACCGGCCTCCCCGG